GTCAGTAAAAATAGCGGCGAGTATTTGATCGAAAAATTCTGTCAACCAAAATGCATCCAACCATTCGGTTTCACAAAGCACTAGCATTTGTTTAGCAATCTAAATAATTGTGGATTGGGTCGTTGTGTACAACAGTTGCGAATCACAGTCAAGATCATTTAATTTGAACTGAAGTTCAAGTTTATCGTGAAGATGGATATTGTGATTGCCTCTTGAAACACAATATGGCTTTGAAAAACGTATTCGGAAACAACACTGATAATCACCGCTAGTTGGGCTTGTGAATGAAGATCCCAACAATTTTTATCTTTCGATGACGGCAGTCTTCCTTCGCTCAATTGAATCATACGTACAATATCAACGTCATTTGGTTGCGTCGATACATCAGTATCACTATCGTGCGATTGCGCTGTTGTTACACACGATGATGAAGCCATTCGAATGACCCGCAGAGACTGCAGAAGAATTTCGGCCTAAAACTGCATTATAAAACAACAAATTAACGACGAATCACTTGAAAATTCATATGGTGACTTGAATTTAGAGCGTTTACGGCTAATTTCCATTTAGGCGAACAGAAGCACTAAAAGCACGCAAAAATTGGTCACAGAGACAGACACCTTGAGTTTCCTTTGTAAGGTTATTTCGTTGCAACTTCCGATTATTTGAATGTAAGTGATTGCGCAAGGACATGAGAAAGTCACAATGTACTTGTTTATTGAAATAGCATGCTATAGATATGTATCGAAGTGAAGACGAATTTCTAGATGATACTTAACTCTTGACGACGATGTTCGGCAATCACTTTACGTGCTTCTGGAAGGCATGACGTGACCTCTGAAATGAATGAAATGCTCATTTTTTAATCAGTGATACCATTATTGGACAACACCAAAAGATCTGGACGCTCAAGAAGGTAGTTGGATGGAAGTCGTTCAATGACAACTAGAGTTCAGTTTCATTGCTCAGCTACATGTAGGGAAGAATAGGATACTTTCAAATAGAGTTTTGATACTGATATTGATAGAGTACATCCGCTGAATGATATAAGAAATAGCCATTAATACTACAGATAAGTTTTGAGAGGGTTCAGTTCGGAAAGCTTGCTTAGTAAAAGTTTCCATATGGCGACTCGGTGTGCATGTGGTAGTTGATGTTTGACGGCGTACTGCGCCAGCTTCGTCAAGTCTACGTCTGCATCATCCTTCAGAATCTGCTCTTCCAACTGGAACCTACTCGATTCAGCCGAATCTCCCACTATTCGACCGATGAAACTAGCTCGGAAATTCTGCGTACGCGCAGAACCTCCAACTGGCATTCTGTGAACCCTGAAAACAGAACACCGCTTGAAGCCATTCCAGAATGCATGTACTTTTCCAGTTACGTTCTCTTGAAATGTTTCATTGTAATGGCAGAGATGTTTTCTTTTAGGATGGGGAAAATACACCGCACTGCCGATATCAATATGTATCTGCATCGAAAATCAGCTAGCCAAGTAGATATGGAGACGTGTAGACACATGAATTTTTGCACAACTGGATATATACGAGAGAAGCTATTCTTCATAAAATTACCTACGTATTTGAGGAATAAAGATGCTGATTAATACGATATCATACGTTGCGGGAATGTTAGACTGCTTATGCCAACTGAGTGAATTCATTTTGTGAGTGAATTCCTATGTGTACTTCATCTTGTACGGAGAAAGTAAGTCGAATCTGGCTTATGAAAACCAAATAAATTGCTGAACAAAACCATTTTGAAAAGGTAATTTTTATTGAACAGAATAAAATAAAGTTGTTTTTGTATTTACAAATTCAATATGACCATTCAAAGATTGAAAGGAAAAAACGAGTATTATGTTGATGAGAAAATTTAGCATCACTATTTTTCTAGCATTACTTATTTCCTTCACGATCATTCAACTTATCTCATCTCAGAAAAAATTCTCAAAAAATAAAACTTTTTCAGTCACTCAAAATGAAAACTCATATCCTATAATATCATATCATTTCTTCGAAAGAAATGAACACAGTCGGAAATTTTCTTTCCACGACCACATGTGGGCTGGACATAAAGATTTGTCATAAAAATGAAAAGAAAAATCAGAGAAAGAAAAAAGGAATCGATCTATGATAACGGATACTTGATGAGAAGGATAAAATGTCGCGAATAACATTTGATTTGTTCTTTCCGCAACCCCCTCCCTCAATGAGCTAAGTATTTTCATGGATAAAGGAGAGAAAAACTAGGAACTTTGATAAAATGCACAACACAATGAAGTAAAAAACAGAACGAAAGGGAACGAAACGTCTCAAAAGCAAATACTCATAAGTACATTTTCTAACAGAAAAGAACAAAAGCAAACAAATAAATCATGTGAAATATTTTCACAAAAATAACGACGGATATTTTGCAATAAACACCATGCAAAAAAAACTGACTACAATACATAATTTGCAGAAATCACCAGCATGTGGAAGCATTGAACAAATGAGAAATGAGTATATTTACGAATATTATCAATTATCATTTCATATCATATCATATCAATTATCAACCAAATAGGATATAACGCAAGTTCGGTATTAATTACAAATTTTAACAGAACGATTGATTTCCTCATTGCAGCACTATGAAATACGGCATACGGCGAATGAGTAGAAGAGGATGAGTGCACAACACTCAATAGCGATAAAAATTTCCGTTACAGCAAATTTTAAGCGAAAAAAANAAAAAAACATAAGTTTTTGTTTTCTTGTTGCACAAACAATGCACAAGCACAAAAGAATATGAAGTTATTCTCAAGTCATCATGCACCTGGCTATTGAACAGAACGCCTCGATGCTGTCCAGTACATTCATTGATAGGTAATCTTATACAGATGCTATTCTAGTTTCTTGTCACCTCATAATGCGAACTGCGAAATCCAAGGGGATTGCACGAGAAGAATCATCACCTTTATGCCACATATCTTAGCACACACACACACACGTGATGGATTCGTTAAGATCAAAAAGCGTCATTCCAACTGATACTGGACACCAGCCATAATTGAGGTTTGATGATAAGGTGAAACTCATACGGATATCGATGAAGGAAAGATTTTCTTCAATCTGGTCGTCGCAGTCGACTGAATGATAGAATCACAGAGCATGAAATCATTGATAGACTCGGAAACATGCGGTATGTTAAGAATATTCGATTGGACAGCTCTGTAAGACAGCAAAATAATACATGTTTCTAAGACAATATCGTACTGATCAATCGAGGATGGATAATAATCCTACATTGTATAATAATAAGAATATACAAACAACGCAATGCGAACTATGAGTCATAATTTCCCGAATAATTTATAAGATGAAAAGAGGTGAGTGGTTTTTAAAAAAATTTCACGAATCCATATAAAATGGAAACATCAAGAGGAAAACAAGGGCGATAAGAATTAACCGATCAATCTTAAAACAAGGGGATGAGATACACAGCAAACTGAATAAATTGATGGGACAAATGAAATTTTTTGAGTATAATTTTAACGCGTTCTGTTTAAATGAATACTCAATATAATGATTATTTCAGTACGTGTTTGAGTACAACAATTCTTCATGCATACATATTGACGGATGACGCGAAATTTCATGATTTTACTTTCACTACTGTCGACAGTATGTTTTGAACATCGTTTCACGCATTGTTTCAACTGGAAATGATTCTATTCTAAAATTGTTGCTTATTTGATACAGTTGACTGAATGGTCGATGGGTGGGGTTCCGAGATGGTTCACTTAAAAGGTTATGACGAAGAGGGCGTACGTGCTGATGCAACAGCACCAGAAGCGGATGGCATCTGCGCTTCGTCGTGCTCATTCTCCATCTCTTCGGTGGTGTCCATACTCTCCTTTGTCTCGATCTCACCTTCATTCTCGCCGAAATTCAACCACGACTAAAATTTTATCTAACTCATTCACTGGATCTTGATTTGATAAACTCATCACTTTCCTTTGGTTCGATAAATTCACCCTCCACATAGCACAACTTTATACAATGGAACTCATTTCTAAGGTTCGTTGTTTGATTCTATATGATAGATTTCGTTCGCCATTTTAGAATGATTTGACTACACACTATCAAATAAAATCAACGAATGATAATAATGTATGTGTGTTGCGTTTATTGATGCGACTGATACAGACATCCCCAGCTTATCATCTGGCAAACTGACAGCAGAAATACGCTCACTGACCTGCTCAACAATTTGTTGTACCCGCTTTTCGTATTCTCGTCGATTCTCTTGATACAACTGCGCAGCCAAAGAATTCGCCGGACTATTCGGATTAGGTTCATCCAGCAGTGACTGAATTGAGGTCAATATGGAAGCAACGTCGTACGTTGGCGACCATCGATTCTGGAAGAATGATATCAATTATAACACTGGTATTGGAATCCAGAATCCTTCAACTGCTCTAAATATGGCCGATTGTCTCGTTAAACCATCCAAATTATCAGCGATAATATCACAGACCTGTAGAATATCAAGGCAAATACTTCCGTCAGCATAAACGTTCGGATGGAACATCTTCGAGATGAACTTCACCGTCGGCGGTTTATTGGGATACTCTTCGGTGAACTCCAATGTCAGCTTGAACGTACCGTCTTCGAAAGGTGTATCTTGTGGTCCGAATATAACTGCCTCCCACATTAGGATATTATCCTCCGTTGGTGCACCGCTAACGCCAGCCGGTGGATCCTCCTTAAAATTTTTAATACTATATCACACCATATGAAGATCAATTTGCTTTTGTTGAAGTGCTCAATCATGCCGTCGTCCTTTTTCAAAAAATAGATAAATACAATTAAAAATAATAAATTGTACGAAGACGCCCATAAAAAACGATTAAAACCTCCGTAGCGACTGACTGATAAAAATAAGAATCCATAAGCACTTTACAAGGAAGGACAACACGAGAAGAGCTGTTAGTTGTAAATAGAAGACAATTGAAAAGAATCAAAAAAGCGAGTTCATGTATCACTCAATGTTAAAATCAAACCTGCAACTTCTTGAAGTCCCTCATCAACCGCCTACGTGATGGAGTTGTCATCCTCTTATTGAACTGAAACGATAAACTTCATTCACAAATTGACAATCACATATTACAATTTCGTATCGACGAATTCAACGTACAATCAAAATTCAACAACAACAATGACTATCACGATACACCATCAACAACACAGAAAAAANAAAAAATTGAAACACTTCAGGAATTTCCCCACTCGCTCCTCTCAAAAACGTTCACAATTACAGAAAAATATGGAAAATATTATAAAAAATCAATAGTTCTATTCGACTGAGAATAAAGGCCTTTCCAGAGAGAGAGGAAGAAATATTGCTGAGTCAGTGCCTATTTCGAAAAACTGATATCCATCCACAATATGTTCAACATGCATAAAGTTATAACCGTGGAACAAAGAAAACTCATTCACACAAGGAATTTCCCACCAAACAACATAATCAATCGTTACCAGTCAATCACTGTTCAAAACCGTATATCACACAATTACAATACATAAATAGTTAATATCTAAATAACTGTAATATAATATTAATGAAAATTGCACAGATACGCTGAACAAACAATCGCTCATGATCATATTCAAAAACAACAATAACGCACAACTGGAATACTAATTCACTGAACTCAGATTTCTCGTTTCCTCCACAAAACAAATAAAATTGCAATGTGTATCAGAATAAATAAATAACTCTAGCCTTCAAACATCACTCCGAACGTAACAACATTATCAACAATACCTACCATGAAAATATAATGACAATAATTATGACGACGCAATTCTTAGACTTTGAATCAGTGAATCAATAAGATTACAATGTAAATATGTAATCGTTTGTTTACACTCGCAGAATTTGTACTTTCACATACATATATACAAGGTGAATTAAAAAGAGCGCGGCAGTTTCCAGTTGTCATAAAACGGCAATGAAATGTATAATTACCAAAACGTTTTTCTTCTGTAAATTTGCAATTTATGAAAAGAGAAAAGTTTTGGTAATTATACATTTATACATTTTCATTGCCGTTTTATGAGAACTTGAAACCACCGTGTTCTTCCAAATTCATCCTATACAATTAAATGTCCTATCATTCGTTGCGGTCAGCTGACTGGCTCCGCTCTACTTGCTTCAATCAATATCAAAACCCCAAAAGAAAAACTGTTGCCTGCAAACCCTGCCTTAAATAAACAGAGAACATGACAGCAAAGAAACCGCTTGCTAACGATAAGAGCTTCAATGACGAATAAAACATTTTGCTGAAATGAATCATCATTTATTTGTGATTTGCTATTCATTTGACTTATCATCAGCACCATCCTCATCCTAGTTATTGATACTGAACTTGCATGAAGTCACCATGTAGTGTTCTCTCATCATCGATTCGATCTGTTTCATTCACCACATACTGAAATTCACACGTTCGAATAATCAATCTTATTTTGCTATTCGTAAGTTATAATGTTTGGTGATTCAACCAAGTTATGACTCCAAATTTTAAAAAAAAATAGAGAGGAAGGGAAGTTATCAATTCGGATTTATTTTTAGNAAATCGACCCACTAACCCCTTCAGCTGTATTCGAATCGTCTGGCACTCGTTCATCTCCACCAATCGTTACCGAATTTGCAGCACTCCCCATCGGCTGTGCTTCCCAAGCTTCGCTACTCTCGAAGACATATTGCTGTTGTTGGTGTTGCGATTGTTGTGGCTCTTGGTCACACGATAGCAGTCCCATATTGAGTCCAGCCTAGAACAGAGTGAACAGGGAATGGATATACTCATAAGAAGAAGATTATACGGAACTCAGAACTGCTTTCTTAATCAGAACAGAGAACTTTCAACAATTTATTCTAAAAATTCTTAACTGCATATAACGGTTCTGAAGTAATCTACAAATTTCACCAATTGCCCACATCAACAAAAAGTGAAGCACCTGCTCGAAACGATCCAAAAATTGCTCGGCTCTATCCAACAGCGCAGCTAAACGATTCTGATTCTCAAGTTCTTTGGCTAACGCGAGTCGCTTCAAATGATCCGTGTGATTCAGTACGAGATTATCAAACGACGGCGTTGCTTCATTCTGCCAACCGCTGCCTGTGCGACCTGACGGTCGTGGCACTAAATTCCGTTATTAATAATCACAACGACAGTGCTATTACTAAACTTTAAAAATTTGGCCATCAAACCGCATCATCGCTTTTGTAGTATGACTAATATTTATTTTGAAGAAGTAAATATTGTTTAAAAAATTTCAGCCATAACAACTAATCGATTAGCTGAAGAATGCAAAATATAGCTATCACATGCGTATGCGTTTATTTACTCATACCCTTTTATCAACTTATCTATATTTGCTCTGTTTCACAATTCCAATGCTGAATTAATCGAATGGTTCAGTCGAAGTATAAAACAAATAAAATTTTTTGCCCAAACATAAACATAATCACCTCGTCTTTGTGTTGTATCCATTTCATTTTCATTCCGTATTGTACTCGTCGAAGCTGAATTTGCAGATGGATGTTTCGGCTTTGATCCATCATCATTATAGGAAATTTTACGACTCGGTTGTACACCAGTAGCTTCCTCAATAACTCCTACACTACTGTTGACACTAATCCCATCTTCTATCACTGCTTCCTCATATGTCTGGAAGTGACTTTCAGATGATGTTCATTGTAACAAATCACAATATATATGCACGAAAAATCCTATGATTGGAATTTCAGAATCATTTTTGATATTTCTTTTTTTTTAAATCTCTAAAGAGATTACTTTCCACATGATCACTTACCCGTTTGCCGTGATTCACTCTTGACGAAACACATTCATCCACATTCATTGTACCCTTCCAAAAATACGTGATAACGGCAATCGAATACAGTTGTTGTGTTTCAGATCCAGCACCAGCAACTTTAGCCTTACCCGTATAGATTTTACGCACGAATGCGCCGCCACACGTCGCACTGTTATTCTCATACCGTTTCGCTAATATCTGCAAACAACAACTCTTCACATTGTTCATTAATTTTCCCATTCATTTTAATCGAAATTACTCAAAGAGTTTCACGACATATTATTATGAACATTTAAAAAAATCTCGAATCGCAGTTCAAAATTGGCCTGTAATTAAAAGTATTGATTTGTTCTGATCAATTGCACTAAGTCATGCATGCTTTCAAACACACCTGAATATCACAAGTCGTCTTCTCATTACCATGTGATGACGCACCTTTCTCAGTTCGGACCACCTCGTTGTTCGCATTCAGCTTATAATACTTTGAGCAACCCGATGGTTTACTCCAATTATCTAGACCGTCCTAGAAGAGAACACACAACAGATTACATCTCATATGACGGAATAAAATAAAATGCAACGTTCTATTGCATACTGCACACACAACATATCTCAATGATTCATCGCTGAAAACGAATCGATATTTCATTTCAAATTCATTCTATCCTTATTGTACTCTATCCTTTCTACAATCATAACCCTGAAAAGCAAATTTTAGCATTAAACCAGAAGTGAACCTTTCTCAGTTCAGCATCCCCTCCAACTTTGACCAGATCGATGACGAACGTACCTTGCGAACGATACTTTTGTGGTATTCGATTGCATATCCTTCAAGAAACAACAAATTTTAATTTATGTTCAGATTCAATTCTTAAAATTCGATCGAATTTGATGATTTATCTTCGTTCAAAACAATTCAATAAACATTTGATACATTTCGTCAATTTTTTAAACGATTCGCATATAGCAATTAAGATGAGAGTACATACTTGCATTTTTTCTTGGAATTAACACTAAAAATCTAAACACCTCATCAGTTAATCGCACCTTACTGTGCTTAATACTTCTATTCGATCACGAATTGCTCGGTGACCTCATTTGCACTTAATAAATGAAAGAAAGCAAATAATTAGCGCTCGATTCGACACAAATAACAATTCACCATTCACTGAAATTTCCACTATTCATTCACAACCAGTTATCGACCGTCAAAGACTTTTCCTTTCAAAAAGAATCTTATGAAGAATTTTTCTCAAACGAAATTTGCGTGAATCAATCCTATGAGCATGGAAAGTGCTTTTCAATAGAAGGCGAAAACGCTTTGAATTTGTTGAATGAGGATAGGCAAAAGCTGACTCAACTCAGATGACCTTTCTCTCATAAATGGTAATGAAGGTCATTCGCGAGCAATTGTCAACCATAAAGAATGCGGCTAGAATACACCATATGAAGATCATATAAATAAATATTCGACGATTCACATAAATCCATTGTTTACACCTAGGTAATAATCACATTTCGACGTATATACAAATATTTAGAACTTTCCAAACAATTCCATTGCACTCTCCAGTAATATCAATAAAAAAGTAATTATATCGCTTTCATTCTCGCCACTCAACTACCTTGAAGTTTATGATGCCATCTCAACACTCAACAAACAATCCCTCAGCCAATTCACCGAACTAATCATTCCATCTGCATATGGTTCATACTTAAATTTGCAAACATGTTCCATGTCTTTATCAACTTAATGAAAGCAACAATCATCACAAGATACTGATAACATTCTCAATAGCAATAACAATCATAATGATACTGCTGAGTTTTGAAACTAATATCACTAATGATGCTAATATAAGCAAGAACAATCTTCACAACGAAAACCGCTCAATGCAAGAAATATAAAGCAGAGCGGAATAAAGCTCAGCACGACGGATGAGAAGAAGTGACGGATGGAATCGAAGTTCACTTCAAAATGAACGACCGTTCAAAAACAGAATAAATCAAGATTTTGATTGAAACGTTTACGAATTGTCACGTGAATTTTGAATGAAAGAAACATGACGACAATATCGCTGCGTGCATAAAACAATTATGAACTAACTCAAGTCTAGAAAAAAACTGATGATTCATCTGGCATTTCGAGGCACTTCTCAAAAGCCATTACGTCAGAATCACATTTAGATTACGAAATTAAAAAAGGGTATTACTTTCAAATTATCGCTAAAAACTCCACCTACATAGTAACCAGTTCCAGAGAGGGACGACCGAGCCAAGTGTCAATAGTTTCCTTCGAGAACAATCAGATATTGAAGGAACGACATAAAGAAAACAACATCATATTTCTCACTTCTTTCCCAACTTTCAAAATACGTCTAACAGTTAACTGAACTTAACACAGCAAATTCGTCAGTCAATCAAATGAACCGACCTCTAACAGGAAAAAACCGAAGAATGATTGTAAGAATACGAAAAATGATATGAACAAATATTTTCTCACTTGAAGATAGGAGAATAAAATATTAAATTCGAAACAAATCATACGAATCACAACAGATAACAATCAAATATAACGATAAAATACGATCAAATCAATTCACGATCAGATGATTGGAGAACGTAAAATGTCGTAAAAAGTGACTCATTGTCGGATATTCTCGAAAAATGAAAATGAAAATAAAACAACGACATAAAATAAAATACGCAATGAACGCTCCAATAATATGGTTTCAGATCGCCTTCATCCACCAATTTCAGCGTCTGACGCATCCGTATGAGAAATTCATCAAAAAAAGTGATGAAACAAAATCATTTAAAACAAGCTCAATCACGAAACACAAACAACGCAAAAATACAGCTGAAATAAAACCAAAATAAACATAACAAGAGGCGGAAGAAAAGAACTGAGAAAAATCAAAATAAAACCGAACCAAACAGATCAAAGTCGTAAATAAAAATTGCCTAAAGAATCGGATATGATCTCAGACAATGAACGAAACTACTACCTCAGTAGACACGGACTACGATGCGACATAACAAAGCATCCACGATAAACGCTCTTTCGTTGTCATCAAATCAAAAATGGAACAGAATCGCAAACGCTTCAATAAACGTTTAAGATACGATAATGAAAAGTGCAAAAACACATCCGACCAACACAAACCCATAGAGAATCTGGCCAAACGCAGATCAAAAACAAAAAGCATAATAAAGCCAATGAACTGGATGAATGGACAAATGAGGCGAGTGCTCTCATTCGCCTTGTTCGATTGTTCATTCTCAGTATCACCGATTCTTTCATACTACTATTGCAAAACATCACGCAATCAAGAATTTCTATCGGTTCATTCAATAGGAAAACTATGAAAACGAGAGAATAAACGAACATTTAAATAATCGGATCAATCAATACGGAGAGAGTGAATGTGCATATGACGACGAGTCAATGAAACTGAATGGGATAAAGCAGAAACGTAGCTAACAGCCGTCATCTTATGCATAAGCAGTTCGACAACATAAATGAGGAGGCTTATTATCGATGGATACATGGATAAACAGACAGATATACGGCCGCATACGTGCCGCCTGACGATTGGTTGAAGTCAGAAATATACATTCGAACCGATAGGACTTAGTTGCTTTCAAGATGACTGATATATTCCCTTTCATTCGCCACGTAGTAGCTTGAAAAGACGGCATTTATTCAGAGAGGATACTGGAACGAACGCAGTGAAAAAATACAACGAACTGATTGACTGATCGATGGATCAGCTGTAGAGACAATCGGCAATGGAGTAGGAATAGAAGTGAAACATTTAAGGATCACGATGAAACAGATATTATTTTGCTCTCTTCGTTGTCCATAAATAAATTCGTCTAAAATGCATCCATTTATTGCTACCCTTATTTTTACNTTCAAAGTCATACTGACTTCACAGCAGTTTCAATAGAATGAGCAGAAGAAGCGCAAGGCTTAGACGTTAGCGAAAAGCCTCAACAACAGATCAGCACTGAATTAAATGATCGAAATGAAATCGAGCAGCTGTACGTCACTGTACTTAGGTATGTCATTGGAATGTGATAACGACTTCGCGATAAGTATTCTTTGTGACGGCATTATACAGCATTGATAAGAACAGCTGTGACCTATGAAAACAGGACTTCTTTCTCGAATAGAGTGCACATTCACGTGACGAAGCAAACACAAATATAAAAATACCATACGAATGCTTTTAAAATCGGTGCTTTCATGATTTATGGATTCGTCTTTAAAACTCTTTTTCGATTGCTCTATTTATATGTATGGTTGCTTCGATGATAACTGCACATGACGACATGTGACGTACGTTAGAGAACGCCTCGCCAGAAATTCATAAAGCTGCCACCATATGAATGGGCCATTAAGAATCGCTCGCCTACGAAAGCAACTGATTCAAAGATTCAAAGAAATTTTGCCGTTCTGTTCAAAACGAACGAAATAAATTTGAAATGCAGTCGAATGGAATGAAATCGAAAATTGCTGTGCTACAGTTCAAATGAACTCAAATTATACTATCAATATTTCTCAATTCTGAACGAAACGAAACAACAAATTCTATCGATCACTCAAAAATAACAACAAGAAATGCACATCAGTTACCCATCAAAAACGAATGATTAAAAACTATTCTATCAACTACCGTTATCAGTAGGTCACTAAGCAAACAACAAATTTCATAACAAATTTTTCTGCATCATTACCGAATCAAAGCAAGAGCAAACGAAGAGATAACGATGAAAACTAAAGGTCATTTCCAACGAACAACAAATGAATACTGTGGCTGTTACAGTTGCCAGAAACGAATCGAGAGGTGCATACCGAATAAAAAAAGCAATCAGACGGCAGTTGCTGAATGGATTAGCTGACTACTTCAAAATAACGATCCGTCTCTCAAAGATAATTCCAATGAACAAACGGAACGATAAAAACGACCACTTTTCAGCGTTTCCTTTGCTGTCTTCATCATTTGAAGAAATATTTACTCTTTTTTTTCGCTTCCTCATTTTTTCACCAATCCTTTTAACTGAGCAAACAAACAAGCGAACAAATATCTTTGTTCAAACACAACAAAAAAAAACGAGAAGAGAATCTATGGAAACTTGACGAATATTTGAGAATTCAAGACATGATTTTTTTGATCTTAAACAAGAAATCACCCGCGCATGTTAAGTTCCTTTTTCCATTGCTCTCCAATCAGTTTCTCTAAATGTGATTGCATTACAAAACAAACAATAATGTCAACAATGTTTTTCGATAGTTCTTCTCAAAAGTCGAATGCACTTCCCACGAAATGTAAACCAACTAAGAAATGAATAACATCAGTGAAATACATTACGCGTTTAATTATTATGTCAACATTGAACATATCTTTTACTGTGATTGGATTTTATGATTTGATAACTCTATCAGAGAAGATCAGATTTGTTGAGAAGAACGGTGATGACGTGTGGATGGTTCGCAGTTGGGACCAAGAATAAATCAGTGGTCAGAAAGCGATCGGTTCATATGCAGTTCATCTTCACCAATCAGTTTTTTTTTCGCAGACAAAGAATTCAATGAAACTACACTAACAAACTCAGACATATTTGTGCAATCATAAACACGGCTTGCTTTCAAAAAAGACTGATTAACGAATGTATTTCCACATGAATGAATAATATAATATAATTGCTGCACTGACGATGGTATTTATTGGGCATGCAAATGAAATGCGATGCAAAGCAATAAAATTCGATGGAAGGCATCTTTTACGAAACCGAAAACAATAAGAATTCAGTTATTGCCATGAATTCGTGATTAGCATTCGCAAGAAAACCAAAGAATCAACGAATGAATACATATTCATGACGATACGTATCTCGCGATAAAGTCCCCCTCACCACAACAATCATCAATTCAAATGAGCCGTGAACAAACACATTCAAAACTTTACGATGTGAAAAGTTTCTTTCAGCAATTAGAATCGTAACAAGAGAAAATAAATGCGCAATGCACACAACGACTAACCGATTAGGTTGCACCAGTTCAATACCCAGAATAATTCTGGCCACTGTATCGAAATCAATCGCCATTTTTGCATACAGTGGTTGACCGTCAAATTCTAAACCCTCATCTCGGGAGATATCCACATTACGAACCTTCAATATGATTTTGGTTGATACTAAACAACTCACATTATGAATCATCTAAATGGATCATCTCCGACGGTTGTTCCATAAAAGATACATCTCCATGAAATATACACCTCATCACATCGGATGGTCCATCCCGAATATAAAATTTTGGGCTTTGTATAGACAATTTGAAATTTTCAGTGAAAAAATCACATTCCGATCTCAATGGGGCCAAAAGACTCTCAAAAGATACCTCCCAACTTCGGGAACCGTATGGACGTGTCGATGCCCTCACGTCACCGTTGTCGGCAGTTCTAATTTGTATTGAATGCGGTTCACCGAGCCATACGTAAACGATCACAGCCAACGGCAACGGACTGCCCGTCGTGGTGCTCCAACCGGTCACGATTTTACGAATGAACCGTCCACATTCTGATCTCGTTCCAGGGTGCTCGTAGCGATTACAAAGTACCTGAAAATCCAAAATCCATTCAAATTCGGACACTATTCTATTGAACGATTTTTGAAAACTAGAGAAATTCCGTCACATTCTTCAGAATTATCAATGGCTCACAACAAATAACACCTACTATAAATCCATATTTCAAAACTGAAATTAAAAAAACGTGAACAATAATTTTCTACCTTGACATCAGAACCACTGATGGTCCACACTCTGACCGGCATTGATCCAACCAATTTATAGAATCTGGATGAACCTTGCGGTCTTCCCCATATGCCGAGACCATCCAGCGTGACCTCGTGACGATTGCCAAAAGTTGACAGATCCACAACGAATGTACCCGTATTCGTGAATTTTTGTGGGGTACTTTGGCATATTTGCTCAGGCGGAACCTTCAACAAGAAGGCACTCTCAAAATGCGGTGAACGACTCATCAACAATCACGTACTCATTTCAAAACCACTTCAAACAAATTCCATTTGAACATCGTTACTGCCAAATTTAAACGATTTTCATTCGGATTTCTTCACTTCTGATTCCAAAAGCACCTGACCAATCATTGAAAACAAAGACTCGCCGACACAGTAATGTATATCCGATTTATAGTGATAATAAATAACGGCATTTACTCAACGAACATAACGCTATATCATATAAACAATAACGATCATGTACTACAGATTATATTGATTTTACACCAAATGGGATGTTTTCCAAAATGCACTGCTTTGCTTTGCGATACACTGTGTAATTCGGTGATGCCACCCTGATAAAACCAGAACCTCATAAACTAAATTTTTGTTCGAAACAAAGTCCAAGTTGAATTACAGAATAACGCGAAAAAGATGCATACACATCTGATTCATTAAACCATTAAAAATACACAGATTATC